AACTTGCTCTAGGTTATTTGTGTCATTTGTTAGTTCACCTGCCCAAATTTCTGACCCATACATTAGAATGGGTGTAACCAACTGATCAAATAATTTTAAACACAATAAAGTTGAAATCATTTTATGACTCAGTATAGTTTGTCTAATGGCAAATAATGTCTTCATTGCTTTATTTTTTAGCATACAATGATTTGTTTTAAATTTTCCATTCGGAGCGAATATCATACCCAAATAACAGAGCTCCTTGACTAGTGTTATGTTTTTACCATCTATAATAAAAGTTTGGTTTTTCAGTACTTGTGTTGAATATCATCACTTTGGTTTTCTTAACACCATCAAGATTCCAGGTTTTACAATAGTCTGCTAATTTATTCAGACAATTTTGTAAACCCTCTGGAGTCAGTGAAAACAAAACAAGATCGTCTGCATATAAAATAGAGTTTAAGGGTTTATCACCAATCATGATTGGTGTATCACCACTTTTACCAAAATGACCTGGAAGATCATTGATGAATATGTTAAAAAGGGTGGGTGAGATATTACAACCCTATTTCACACCACATGTGGACTGAAAACCCCCTGTTAAACCATTTGACATCTTGACCTTGTAGTTTATGTTATTGGACATGGATTTAATGATTTCATAGAAATGACCATTCCTAAATTTTGTAATTTTAGGAATTATGCTTTCCTCCAGACGCTGTCAAAAGCTTTTCTGAAATCTATAAAACATGAGTACATGCGTTTTGGTTTATCAGAATTTTTTCCTTGACTGCTGTACAATGTTTTATCCATAGCTGTTTTAAGTAAAAATTAGCATCTGTTGTGCGTCTCTGATAGACCTTAAGTGGAAATGGCTACAGAGATCTAGCTAAAAGCAAAAGAGCCATGCAACTTTTTTGCCTCCCAAAATAACCCATTTTCCACTTTGTATGAGATCTCGTTAGACTGTTAAATTTGCCTAGCAACCAGTTGCTAGTCATGTGATACAGGTCAAGCTTTGATTCAAAATGTGTTATGTTGTGCATTAAATTCTCAAATGATTTCTTGCATCTGTTTCACGTTTTCGAACATGGCTGACTTACGGTACATAGAATAAAGCGCTAGGGCTGTGCACTTGTGGAACTTGAGGAAGATCCTAAATTTGTTACAGCATGCTAAAAATCACTCTTGCATTTGCCGTAAGTGCACTGTTTAACTCCCATTGTAGCTTCAAGTATTGCAGATATTGTTTCGTAATGAGGTTTACAACACGCAGGGCAATGTGGTTGCCACCATATTGAACTAAAAGCTTGACCTGTGTCATGTGACTCTGGTTTGGTGGTTGCTAAGGTACATGAATCATGGTCCAGTGTGATCTCACAGCTTGCGGAAAATGGCTTATAGTGTTCCATTCATCATCTATTCCACTGTTCTAGATATATGTATCATAATTACATAGAGAAGGTGTACAGGGAATGCAATGACAAAAGAGAACACTACTTAGAAGGGGGGGGGGGTTAAAATAAGTCTTACAGCTTTTTCCAGGTCAATGGCCAATTTGCATCTGAGGTTTATTGTACATATTTGCATATACTGTCAATTGTTTAATATCATCGTAAATAGTTTCTATGATTTGATAATTGGGGCATTTGTCACAATTAAATTTTGTGAAAGACACAGTGACTTTAATATTTTCAAATTAATTGTTCACTTTTGAAATATTTTGTGATTTGAATGTACTTTTCAAATTTGTCTAAGTCTGGCGATCAAAAACAATTGTAATTGATACATTAAATGTTTGTGATAAATTAAAGGGTGGTGGTTTTCATGCCACTAATTCCTGAGATATGTGTCTCATATGAACAAAGATGTCTACTATTGCATAGACCAACAAGTACAAAATGGGGTGTTACTAAGCTTTAACTACCGGTAGATAATAATTTCTTTCGTGATTGGATGGTATCAAAGGATTCAGTGGCAGTAATTGGTGCACATCGCACTAAAGTAAAAAATCGTACGTGTGATTTCTATTAGAAGAGCGCATTGGATTGTGGAAAAATCAAATTGTATGTTTATAAACTCAAATGTTGTACATGTGCGACGACCACTGCCCTCTAAGTAGTGTGTGTACTTACATAAATTACAGTAGTGTGTTTCAATATAAGTCAATGATACAGCATACTGAAAATGTAAATATTTAGTTTATTGCATTTGCTATAATAGAAGAGCATCTCTTGAAAAAAACACATACGAACCAAAAATCACATTTGTTGTATACTGAATCAATAAAATGTTACTTTTTGGACACATTCTGTATTTATCTAAGCGTATGCACTGTTACACTGTACAAATACAGTAAGTATGGAGATTGGGCCATTCCAGTTTATATCTGCACCCCCCTGTTGATGAGGTCGGATTTCCAGCACTGTATGATGGGGGAAATACCCCGGAATTCCAACTGTATATGGAGAAACAGAATCTGGAAATCCAGACAAGAATGGAAAAAGAAATCCTGGAAATCCAGGCAGTTATGGCTACTAAATAAAATATGAGGTTGGATTTCAAAGACTGTAAGACTAAAAAAACTTGGAATTCTGACTGTATATGGTAAAAAAATTGGGCCAGTATGAAATATTTATTACTGAAATTAGATAAGGATGGTGGCACGAATGAGCTCATCAATACCGTGAATCAGGACTAGTTTGGATTTCCATTATCAAATATAAAATTTTGAACTTAGTAAATTAGCATATGATGAGAGTTATATTTGGAAATCCTACTCTGTATGGTGGCACAAAGGAACTCATCAACACCATAAGTAGGAACTATGGTTTTGGATTCCCATTACTGTATGGTGAATGGTGATTTGGAAATAAAACTTTGTATGACTTATACACCCATGGAAATTATACCCTGTATGAAGTAAACACACAAGCTCATCAACAGTGGGGGTGCAGATATAAACTGGAATGGCCCATTGGAGATGCACTACTAATACCGGTAACACAAATACAGTACTACAACTTTGTTGGCAATATTGACAAAATGGATGGATACATACAGACAGAATTAAATTAAATGACATAGGCTTTCAACATTATATTTTGCAGGTAAAAATAAATTCATTATTTCTCCTTGCATTATTGAAATTAATTATATTTAAGTATTTCACAATATATATACATGCTGACTCTTTTTTTTAGTTCAGGAGAACAAAATAATTAACTTTAAGTGTTCAATCAATGTATATTTTTACATTCTCTCTCTTAGTTAAAAAATATAAACACAATATTTTTATTCCATAGAAATTTCGGCAAAATAGATATTAGAATGTTTATTTACAATATTATTAATGATGGGAAAAATTGTTGTTGTTATCAAACAACTGAACATATTTGTCTTACCAGGTTTTACCACTTTGTCATAACTTAAAACGTTTATAATGTAAATTATTCAAACAGACAGTTTTCATCAAAGGAATGTCTAACGGTGGGTTGCAACCTCTCACAGCTAGTAAAAGTTGAAAATTACTTAATATATTTAGAATCTGTAAATTTGTTTACATCTGTCTTCCAGTAAGTTACAGCGTGCTGCAATTTTGAAGTACTAAAAGAGGTAACTATATCCTTCCATATTAGGAAATGTGAATTCCAAATATGCAACAATACTGTATCCTTCCATATTAGGGAATGTGAATTCCAAATATGCAACAATACTGTATCCTTCCATATTAGGAAATGTGAATTCCAAATATGCAACAATTAATGCAATATTTCCAAGATGGCGGGTGTACATGTCAAAGTTCATGTAGCAAAAAAATTGAGCAAATTGTGACCAGCTTGCCAAAATGGCCGCCAGTCGACCATTTTGAATTTGATCTGCCAAATAAAGTGACATGCATACTTTGAAATATCTTTATAATAATTGTTTAATGTTTTTCTACCCTAAGTGATTGCATCAGGAAGACTAGAAAATAACACAAAATAGACACTCACATATTATAAGCACCTCATCTCTGTGTCGGTACACCTGTAATCCTCATAATAATAGACCATAATACAATTTGCTCAGTTTGAAACATTTATGGCGGCAAGGTTTGGTATTCACATTATTTTTTTTTGAATCAAAGGCCAAATGATCTCCTGAATCCGAGTTGCTTTTGCCGCTGAAATCACCATAGGTAGACCATCCCAAAACTGCAAGCGAAGACCTCGTTCAGGGCAGTGATCAATTGGGTTGTCTTTCTCATCCAGGGCAATTTCAAATTTATTTGTTTCATCTCCAGATTTCAATATCACTGTCACGTTTTTTCCATACATTGCTAGTTTGGCATTGCTCCAAATCTGTGGTAGAAATAAACAATCAGATCTTTGTAAATGTCCTTCATTGATTTTTGAAATGACAGACGGGTAGGAAGAAACGAATAAATTTAAAGAAACATAACATTACAATCAAATTACTAATTGTCATGGTGACAGACAATAAATTAATATCAAAAAGCTAAAAAAGAACAACCGTGTATTGTGAAAGTATTTGATTTATTAAAAATAATTTCAAAATTTAAGAGTAGCCATTCAAATAAGATCGTCTTTGCATATTGAACACAAAAGACATTTTTCCTGGGGCGATGAAATGATTTTTATTTGGTTTTGTGTGATAGTTGGTCAAGCATTATCATATAGCATTTCAAACAGGAAATCCACAGCACAGGTCACAGTGTGGTTTGTGGGTAAGAAAGCAAAATGAATGCCATTGTAATCATTTGGGCTTTTCATAATAGATCATTACTATTGAGATACTATTGAGACTGCCAACTTAAGATTGCATCAAAATAGCACAGTCCAACAAGTCCAAGGTGGAGGACTGCCAACTCAAGATTGCATCAAAATAGCACAGTCCAACAAGTCCAAGGTGGAGGACTGCCAACTTAAGATTGCATCAAAATAGCACAGTCCAACAAGTCCAAGGTGGAGGACTGCCAACTTAAGATTGCATCAAAATAGCACAGTCCAACAAGTCCAAGGTGGAGGACTGCCAACTCAAGATTGCATCAAAATAGCACAGTCCAGTCCAACATGCAGACATCAGTGTTGTGACTTCTGCATGCCCGCACAACTCACCCATAAATACCTCAATACCATGGTAATCGTACATACCTGTTCCCCTCCACGTTCTGTAACATTTTTTATAAACTTGTAACCAAACTTCAATAATTTTTCATCACCTGGCAAAATTGGGTCACTCGAAGAACTAAAATACGTAAGAGCAGCACGGATATCACCAAACGAAATGGAAGGATCACATTTCTTTTTGTATTCTTCAGGTATTCTTTGGTTACCTAAAATAAAAGAAAATTCTGACTCAGTTATTATTGAAGTGAAAAGACTGATAGATTACTTGCATCATATGTTGAAAACAGGAGAAAACATTTCATTGGTAACATTTTTGAAATCTCATTGTGGCTACTTTCAGCTAAGAAGCACAGTTTTGACATAATGTGCGTCGGTCCAAAAGAAAACATGATTTCTAAGCGATAATGATGATATAATCTTTCCAATTTATTTACAACCATGTCATTTTAAAGTTGTGAGTGTGTGATATTTGATACAATGTATCTAATTAATTCATTCCTAAATTGGTTGACTCGTTCTAAAGCCTGTAGAACAAGAAAGTTTGATCAATATGCAAATTAAACTAATTAATATGCACAGATTGGGAACAAAGACTAATAAGATTTTGTATTGAGTATCGCTAAGACGTACACCACTGTACCATGTATTTCTCTCGGCTCTGCGCAAAGCTGCTGTGGAACACTGATCAAAAAGCCGATGAAAACAACTAAAGTTATGCATCTGTGCATGGATCAACTGGCTGGATCAACCATAGTCAAACTTCACACATACATCATACATAATATTATACATATGCACATCAATTTGTTTCACGATCTGATCCAAGATGGTCAATGGCGGTCATTTTTGTACTGAAAAATCATCAAAATCAAGCATTTCTCTGCTGTTTACTGATGGATTTTGTTCAAACTTGGTATATACATTAGACTTAAGCGAGGGTTCTCCAAACCCGCCTGTTCACATAGTTCATACCCACCATAGACTCCGGTCAGTCAAAATGACTATTTTGGGGTGGTTGGGGGGGGTACCCTCGCCTAAATTCACTACGTTCAATTACCCACCATAGACACCGGTCAGTCAAAATGATTATTGTGAACTGTAGGCAGAGTCAGACGCCGATAGGTGGCAAGTTTTTTCGAGCAAACAGAAAAAATGATGAAAGATTTTTCCCAGTCCGGGATGAAAACAAACTCAACACCCGAGTTAACAAAGGGTGGTGTCTTACCTTGCCTGTGCTGTCCCCGGAGCAAGAAGCCAAAATGCTGCTACTGTGACAGGGTTCGGTGTGCCCGAGAAAGCTAGAACCCAACCCAATTCTGGGGGGTAGTAAGTTTTCGAAGTAAAGACCAAAATAGTTCTGCATGAGGGCATAGGCCGTAAAGCGAGACCTGGGAGCTTCCAGGGGAGTGCTGATGGTAGAGAAATCTGTCCGCATAAAATGCCGGACTGACTTATTGCCTATGCGCAGGTACTCTAGCAGTCGTTCGGGCTGGGTCAGCAAACCAAGACTGACCCGCTACGACGGGACCCAACCTAGAGAGACTCTTTTCAATGGATTCGGTGTCTCTTAGGTGGTAGTTGATAAAGACGTTCTGTGTTCTCCAGAAGCCTGCCCTCCATGTGTGCTTGAGGGGGGCCGCCTGACGCTAGCACTAGCGAGTTAGCAATCGCACAGACCTCATGCGCTTGTACTTGGTGTCTCTGCAAGCTCTGTGTCGAGGAAGTTAAAGTATTATCGACCTCCAATACAGACGCAGTAAACCACCTAGTTATGGAAGTTGGGGAGGCCAGCCTATCCTACCTGCCCGGGCCATAACACAAAGATATATGCCTGGCACCCCGTTCCAAATCCTTAGTATGGTTTGGTGGCAACTCCGTGCTCGAACCGGGTAGAGAAGCAATTCCTCCTGACCCTCCGGGCAGACAAAATTTGACAGCCGGGGGATGACGATCGGGTGAGGATCATGTCCTGGGATTTGGTTCTAGGTGAGAGACCCGATTCGTGTCTTAAGCACAACTTGATTGTCCATAACGGCGGTACATCATCCGAGAAGGACAATGCCTCCAGCTCTGGCCGACGCCTACCTGAGGCGAGGGCCAGTAGGAAGACTATTTTCCACGTCAAAAATTTGAGTGGTGCTGATTCAAGAGGCTCAAAGGGGGGTCTGCTTAGAGCAGACAACACAGCTGACGAGTCCCAGTTGGGCGGCTCCCTTGTAGGGGTCTTGGCGTCCGGAAAGCAGTAAATAGTCTCCTAATAATAGGACAATCGGCTAGCCTTGTTCCCGTATGTTTGAGTGGTGGGGGACAAGACCGACCTGTAGCCAACGATCGCTGCGTCGGACAAACCAACTTTGTCAAACAGGTGGACGAAGGAGCCTGCTACCTGGCCAATAGAGGAATGGTATGGATCAATCTCCCTTTCGCTACACTAATCAGTGTATGATCGCAGCCTAGAAATGTAGGCCGCGTTGGTGGAATCCCTGTTCGCCCTGGCCAGGACGTTGGCAGCCCGCTCAGATAAGGCTTTCGTATGTGCGGGTCTACTGAGAGCCTCTATGCGTGTAGGTGATACTTGCTGTGCTCGTTGGTAGTGCGCCGTCTGGTTGGGACGGCAGGTCCGGTAAGTCCGGAAGCACTGCTGGTGTTTCGACTAGCATTTCCAACAGAAGTGGAAACTAGGCCTTGCTTGGCCAATTGGGTGCAACCCCTGATAATATGGGGGTGTGCACCTGTCGAAGTTTTCTCCGGTGCCCGGTGAACTAGCGGGAAGGGAGGAAAGGCGTACACAACTAAGTGGGTCCACAGGGTTAGCAAAGCGACCCTGGCACAGACTCCTGAAGTCAGCAGGAGTGTTACGTACGTCAGGAGCTTGGCGTTCCGGGGTGCGACAAACCGGTCCAACCTTGGACCGTCCCACAGCCGAAACAGCAGTCCTGAAAGGGCGTCGCCAGACTGTTCCTCACCCCTGGAAGGTGGTGTGCGGTTAGCTCCACATTGTATTCCAGGCACCAAAGGAGAATTTTCTCCGCTAGGAGACCACGGCTGTGTTGCCTGTGCAGAGCAGGACTCTATGGTCTTGAACTACTGGTAGAAAGCGCGGTAGTGCTAAGTACACTGCTCTCAGTTCGAGTCGGTTGATATGGTAGTCCCGAAACTAATGCGGGCCATATCCTTGGGCTTGTTGGTCCAATAGAAGCGCTCCCCAATCCTGGGGGAAGGCATCTGTTACCAGAGTCATACCTGCGGCGAGCGGGTCCAAGGGGCCCCCCTGCCCGAGGTTGGCCAGTGACGACCACCAGGGCAGGGCTTCCTTCACTTAGTCCGAGAACGAAACCCACCTATCTAGTTCCCATAGGAGAGCTCAGCGTTATAACAAGTGTTATACCGGGCGGCTGCGTAGTGCGGCCGGGGGTAACGTCCCTTTGAACTGAGGTCATCATTCCGATGATCCGCATTAGTTCTCGGAGGGATACTGAGGGAACGCTGACTAGGCATTCAGCTAGGCTGCTTAGTGCTAAGCAACACGCTTGATAAGCCAAGCTTACCTCTGTGTCAAAACTCCATGCCCAGGGACACCAACTGCGCGTTTAGTCGAGGTGGGACTTGTCGATTTGGCTATTAACCCCTTGCCCGGGTTGTTAGTAACCAGTAGTCTGGGTACGGATTGAGGTGTACCGACATCTGGTGAAGCAGCAGCACCACCTGTTTCATCACTCGGGTGAACACGTAGGGCGCTGTGCCTAACCCGAACTGGGGGGGGGGGGACAAAATTTGAATACTTGGCCCAGCTGGACAATTCAAGGGAGATGGCAACTCGCTGGGTGCATCGGTATGTGCAGGTAGGCCCCGCTTAAGTCTAGTGGGGCTAGCCAGTCGAAACGGTGGATGGAGAGGAGAACCCTAAGCGTATGCCGTAACAGGATGTCACCACCTGGAAAGGTCCAGGGATTGGTCACCCGCTGTCTCCAAACCAGACTACACCGGCACAATCTGTGTACGACAGGGATATGTGGCCATGGGTTCGGCAGTTGCGAGGGGGGGTGCTCCCTTCCCCCATGAGGGGAGTTTCCCCAAGGCCTGAAGTAGTCACTAAGTTGGCCACTCGCCAAACACATGCCTGTCCCCCCAGTTTCAGAGGTGAGCTGCTGGGTAGACATCTGCCCAGGGAGGGTGAGGAGCCACCACCTGGCTCTTTCCTCTCCCTGGGAGCGCCCCACTACTCTTCCCTCCCATGGAAGGATATGAGTGCTTGCCTCCTGGCTGACTCTGGCTAGCGGACGACGCCCTAAGGCGTTGTGTTTTCTGTGCTTGGGGTGCCCTCCACTTGCCCTCGACAGGGCCAACTGGCTAGTGGATTCGATCTGAACCCTCTGGTTCATTGCACTCCGAAGCTTCAAGACTGTACCCACCATTCCCTGAACGAAGAGGGTGGAGGATGTCCAGTCTGTGTCACTGAGGTGGGGACATACCCCGACTCAGCTTGTCGGCGAAAACACATGCGTCTAAGGCCGCGTCTCGTAGCACAGTAGTGGCTCCGGCCAAGAGAGCCAGGTGACACAATGGTGTCGCACGTATATGTGCGGTGGCCCACCAGTAAAAATGTCGCCTAGTCTAGGAGGCTGGTGCGTTCTGCCTCCAAGGTCTCCAGAGTCCTTGGGCGCACAATAATGCGCTCAAGCAGCTCTGCCCTCAGGGCTGGATGGGTCGTCCTCAATTGGCAAGGACGCCCATGGAACGCGGCTGTCTCCCTTTGCCCGGTTTGCCAAATTCGTGGTACCAGGGTCTGAGGAAGGAGCCTTGGAATCTGGTTGGGGGCGTTTTGATCTCATCCCACACTATGGGGTCTGATCCCGAAACCACACCGACTGGGTAGCATTTGGTCCAGTGGGAAGTGTTGCCTAATGTTATCCCCACCAGGGGGCCTTAAGCGTTACATCCTTCGCGGCTGACCAACGGCGCCCATCAACACCATTTGCGTGCTATGCGCCCCACTCCGCACTCGGACGGACAGGGAGAGATGTGCCGACGGGGTTCCTTTGGATCCCAAGGCCTGTGATCCCATAAGCTTTGAAGCAACCTTAGGTGGTCACCTTAGGATCAAGGGTGGGGGTATCTACATTGTATCACTGGGATCGATGATACTCTGCATCACCCCAAAAGCGTGGCTCACCGAGTAATACGGATGGAAGACTCTGAGGGGCCGCCCGGAGTACCGGCTGTATCCGACGCGAGTGAACTGCGTCCTCTTTCACTTTAAATATGTGAGAGGGAGCATGTTCGACTGTGCGTCTCATGACAGGGTCGGTTCCCTCTGGGGACGCCCGTGGGTCGGTAAGGAGGGAGTCAAAACCCACAGCGGAGACTGGACACAAGAATAAATTCATTACCGTTGTACCGTTACCGCGTGACGAACCTTTGCTGGCTGAAAGTAGGGGGGGTCAACGTGTGCCCTGCCCTGAAAGCCCTGTCCCAAGATCGGAGGCTTGGCTGCCAGCACCCCGTTGGCATTCAGTGCCCGAGGCTCCAGAGGAGGCCCGGTGCAATTAGCCTGAGCCTCGGCCTCCCCCAAAAATAGTGGGAGAGCCGCGGCTGGGAACGGGGGTTCCCCGGAAGAGATGTGTTTGAATGCAACATGCTTTCGTGTTTATTCCTGCTTGCCCACCGAGGGGACACAGTGGAGACAGCTTGCTCCGACTGAGTCTGATCTACCCGGTCTGCCAGGGACGCAATTGCCCTGACAGTCCTTCAACCAAAGCCCTCAACTCGGAAGCAAACCCGGCACCATGCAAAAGGACCCGCAACGGGTCTCATAGGAGAAAAGCCACCAGGAGCACAGCCTTGCTGCAGCCGGTAAAATCGGGTAAACCACCGCCTGAAAAAACAGACTGTGAGGATGCCCTCCGATCAACGGGGGAGGTCGAGAAAAGTATTGGTACCTCCACCATCGGGCCTCCTACTCGACGCCCCGGTACACGAAGCACCGGTAGCCGAGTGTGAGGACTTTCCACTCATGCGAAACACGCAACTCACTTAAACCGATTTGTTTACTGGATGCGCGACCTTGCTGTGACGCGGTCAGTCTCAGTGATTTTGATGGCTCTGATCTCAGGCCTCAGAACTCCAGTGAAAAAAACACACACCTTCACACAAAAACCCTGAACCCCGCACGCAGCTACGACAAAGTATCTCGGATGCGGGTTCTATGCTGGTAAATTCTGAATATAACCACTGCACTGTCGACTCGAAACACGAGGAGACCGAAAAGAAAACGGCAGCGAGCCCTGGTGCTGTCATTACATCTATAAATTGCTAAATACATTGTAAATAAAAGAAGACATGCATGAGGGAAAAACAAAATACAGTTGTAAAAGGTGCCGCCGCGAAACCAGCAAGCGGTTACGTAGTGGCGCCAGGTTTTAATCTCTTTGTTGTGAAAAATACTACACACAAAAGGGAAAACGACATGAGGGTAAAAATGACAAGGAAAACTTATCCTACCAGCTACAATGTCGGATGCGTTTCAGCGGCA